GAGGGCCGTTGACTAAGAAACGTCCAAACCTGTAGAGAATTTTTGTAAGAATTTGAGCCAAGCTGATGATATATGTGGTGGCGGCGGGGACGGGGCATGGTTTAAATGCTCTGGGGAGTGATGGTTTTGCGGCTTCTTTTATGCCTTTGAGGTTAAGGAGGGACCATAAGGAAGTTCACACAGAGGTGAGGAAGCGAGGTGGTGCAGACTATAGGACAGTTAAGATCGAGGCTTAAGGAGGAGTGTCTTAGAGGGACGTCACAAAGGTGCATGACCCTAGAGGCACAGAAGCGGCAGCTTGGCCTAGTGAGGGCAGGGGAGCCTTTCAGGAAAGATGCACATGCTTGGGATGTGACCTGTCCATTGGGGGACTTATGGTCAGACCACCCTGCGAGGTGAGGTGCCTTGTCGCAGAGCCCCTTCTATCCGTGCACAAGGCCCAGGCCCTGGCGTGTGAGTGGGCACAGCTCCCCGCCTCATACGTGGCGCAGTACTGGGTGTCTAGGTCAGTGACTAATGAGAGACCGGCTGGCCTCAGCCCAGCCCCTCTACAGCCTGGCAGCAGCATAGAGTATGAGGCTCTACCACTGGCCAGTTTTTGCCTGTTAAAATCCGGATTCCCAGACCCCCATTATGGTGTTCAGGGGACTCTCCACTTGGTCCCTCCGGTGGTCCTCTTGACTCGGTGTCCTGCACTCCAGCCTTCCTAGATTTGCTGTTACTTCCAAAACCTATCTCTCGTGCCCTCCCCTCCTTGGCTCTGACAAGGCCTTCCCCGGGCACCTCTCCCTCCTCCTCCCATTAGACTCCTGCCCTTCCTCGGGGACCCTTGGCGACAACGTGTGGCTCCTCTCGTGCCTCAGCATCTTCTGTGGTGGCATGTGGCGACCTTAGGGCCTGTTATGACATGCTTTTATCGTGGCCGCTGTGCACGTTGAAGTGATGGTGGCGTCACTGCCATCGTGGACAGGACCTAACGTAGAAATGCCTTCGGCCCTCCGTGAAGTCATCGGAAAGTAACCGTCGTAACCTGTTTCTTTATTGACGTTTGGGTAATTTGACATGTTTTCAAATAGGTCGAGTTGGACTTGACTAGAATTTGTGCAGTTTGTTAAAATTGTTACTGGTCTCGACGTTCTTTCAGATTCTGGATGAAATCGAAGAACATAACATCAAGATCTATCACTTGCCTGATGCAGAATCGGATGAAGACGAAGATTTTAAAGAGCAGACTAGGCTCCTCAAGGTAAGAACTCTGTCTTCAGGTGCATGAGGTCGCCAAGGCCTATTTGTGTCGCCTGCCTTCAAAACAAAAGGAGTTGGCACAGGGCGGAATCCTGGGAGGCTTGACTCAGAAAGTGTCTGGGTAGGTGTGCTTGCAATAGTGTCTGTGCTTTAAATACGTTTGGACCTCATTGTCACCACAAGGGTTAGAAATCTCATTGCAGGTTTAATTTCTTTCAGGCAGTTTGTCCCACAGGGGAGGTAACTGCCACTTTGAAGTCAAACGTTGTTTGTGTGCCAGTAGCTTTCCAAGAAAACTTGGTAGTAAGCAGCCAAGTGCCCTATGCGTGCGCCGTGAGCACCGGGTCCCCACGTGGAGTCTGTCTAGCCTGGCTGTCCCTCTCTAGGCCAGCATCCCGTTCTCTGTGGTCGGATCCAATCAGCTGATTGAAGCCAAAGGCAAGAAGGTCAGAGGTCGCCTCTACCCGTGGGGCGTCGTGGAGGTGGAGAACCCGGAGCACAATGACTTTCTGAAGCTGAGGACGATGCTCATGTAAGACGCCCCTGCCCCGTTAGCAGTGCGGAGCCCGGGGCAGCGCTTCCTGGTGGCTTCCTGGTGGGAGTGGCCAGTGGCCACAGAGGCAGCTTCCAGCGCATTGAGCTGCCACGGGGGCCACTGGGCATGGTGCCGGAGGCCCTCACTGGAGTCCCCCTTGGCAGTACACTAACCAGCCCCTTCACCCGTGGCCGGGAGCTTCATACACTCCCCAATGATCTCCCAGGTCTCCTTCGAGGCTAAACGCCCTGAACCAGCCTGGGCCAGCTCCTGCTCCCTGAGGACCGGGTGGGCTCAGCGGCGCGGGCAGCGGCGGCTTCCCTGGCGCTGGCTGACGTGCATTACCATGGCCAGTCGGCCTCAGGCTCCTGGGACGCCCTGGCCAGCCCACGATGCTTGATGGCCTCTTAGCAAGTGGAGCACCCCATGACGAGAACAGACTGCTTTCCCCTAAAAGTAGCTTTCGCGTCCAGTAACATGTGTGCAGTGCTGTTGCTCTTGAGTAAAGAGGCAGAAGGACGGAGCACAGCTAAAATCCGTGACCTCCGCAGCCCGCAGAGCTCGGAGGAGGCGGACCCAGATGAACGCGGAACAACTGGAAGTTGCTTGTGTGCCACACAGGGTCCGCTTGGTGTAGCAACTTCGAGTGAACTAAAATCACTAAAAACATCATTAAAATTACTATTCAAGCTAATGGTAAGCGAAATTCAGTCCCTGCGTAAGGTAGTTAACGTGAACCCAGCTCTCCAGGATGAGCCCTTGGCTGGCAGGGTCCCGTCACGGGCAGTGTGGATCCCGAAGACAGCTCCGGGGTCAATTGTGTGTTTCTCAGAGGGACAGCAGCCCTGGATTGCGGGTAACAGGAAGTGACACCTTCACTCATTTATGAGCACCAACATGTTTAGAGACACTGGGCCAAAAATCAGTCTTTCTTATGGTGATTAGACCAGCGACCCCCAGCTCTTCTGGCACCAAGGACGTTGGGCCCATGAGGAGCTGAGGCAGAGCTGAGGCGAGGATGCGCTGGGGAGCAGCTGCACACATAGGCTAAGCCTTGCTCCTCGAAGCCGCTTCCCTCCTGCTGTGCGGCCCGGTCCCTACCAGGCCAGGACCGGTACCAGTCTGCGGCCCGGGGGCTGAGGACCCCTGGGTTAGAAGAGGCAAGTGCCGTTCCTGTAGTTATGTTTAGAAACGTGTATCCTGCTTCAGACATTGGTTACCTAAAAACTCAAATCTCGTTGTGTATCCGCCTCTGTCCAGCGGCGATGGTCTCATGCAGAGCTTGGCAGTGCTTGTGGCAGAGTCCCTGCGAAAGGGACTCTTCGCCGGGCCCTGTCGGGCGAGTGTGTCTGCGTGTCATTTCCTGGGTAGCACGGAGAGACATACCTCCGCAGATGTCTCCGTAGCCTCGCCCCCTCACCCTGGAATCTCAGAGACTTCACGTCGTTTACCAGGTTGAGGAGGTTTCGTCACGAGGGTTTCTTCCACGTCCTCCACTGGCGGTTCCCAGCGCCGGTGGCGCGCGCGGCCCAGCCCCACGTTCTCTTCTCTTTCAGCACCCACATGCAGGACCTCCAGGAGGTGACCCAGGATCTGCACTACGAGAACTTCCGCTCCGAGAGGCTCAAAAGAGGCGGCAGGTTATTGCTCGAGTCATGCTGTCCCCCTCTGTGCATAGTGTGTCACCCCAGGTTATGCCGTCCCTCTCCTGGATGGGTTTAGCTTGGTCTTCTTGACCTCTAAGCAACATGATTTGGTTTCTTGTTATGACACTAGTTTTTGTGGTATTTTAGCCTGCTCTTTAGTGTGAGTGATTAAAGGTAGTCTTTAATCATCTGCACATAAAGAACAGCTTCAGATGGGAGGGCCGGGCACTAGCTTTGAGTCTGTGAGGGAGGCACTAGCTTTGAGTCTATGAGGGAGGGTGTTAAACCGCAGCGCCCTCATCAGGGGAGGGCAGCAGGCCCCCCTCCCCACCTCCGAAACTCACGTGGCCGCCCCGTCTTGGCTTTTCTTTTTCACAGTCCTAATAGGTTTTTGTTTGAGACCTGATTTGTTTCTGATAAAATCATATCTCTGCTTAGAGTTTAACAAATAAGTGATACATACATAAAAGAATTTTCTGTATTGTAGTTCCTTGAAATGTTCACATTTTTTAAAAATGTGGTGGATTTGTGCTACGTATGAGATATACATTAATATTAATGTGGGGACCAGACATTAAGAAAGGTGTCAGAGGCAAGGAGGTCTCACTGAGGAAAAGCTGGCCTGGCTGTGACCCACCCCACCCCGCCACCCCCCCGGCCACTGGTTACGAGAAGCTGTGTCCTCGTGAGCGCAGAGGGCCTCTACTGGCCGCCTCTGCTTAGACATCAGATGCTGTGTAATGGTTATAGTCTGTGCATAAAGGTTAACTTTAAAAGGGGTATTCGCCAGGTAATAGCTATTATTTTTTGAGTAGGTAAAGATGAAAATGTTATCCCAGCTTAGAGAATCTCTGGAATTTTCCATTTCATGTTGCTCTTTTTTCAGCATTCTTTTTTATGTCATTAATCAGAAAAGTGAAAAAGTTTATGTAATTTTAACTAGATAATATTTCTCAGATATGTAAAATGAAGTGTTATCTTGTCATCAAAAATAACCAACTTACATTTGTTGCAATATTATAATTGTAATTTCTTTTAACTCTTAGAAAAGTGGAAAATGAGGACATGAATAAAGACCAGATTTTGCTGGAAAAGGAAGCTGAGGTAAGTAGAAAAGGATTTTTTCAGTCTAAAGCTGTTTAGTTTACATCAAAAAGTGTTATTTGTAGTTAGCTTATTTTTTGAGAAGGAACATAGCTCACATAACTAATATATTTTATACATACATCTGTACATAGTATGCATATTGCTTTGCACGTATCACCTCATTTATTCTCCAGTAGCAGTTTAATAGAAAGCTTGGAAACAGACTGTAGTAACATGACTGATTTTGTAACATTCGAAAGTCAGTTTTTCTATGCATAGGTTATAACCAATTAGAAAATTTAACGAAAGAAACCCATTCACAGCCACTAACAAAAATTTAAGAAATACATAGGACTTAACATGAGAAAGAAACTAAAAACCTAGTGACAAAATTTTCAGAATTTTAATATACACACAGCTTGTTAGGATGCTTAATTTCCAGATCCTTGTTCTAAGTTAATCTCTAAATTTAGTGCAGTTCCAACGGAGTCGTGTGTGTCTGCTGAGTGTTTTTTTCTGGGGAGAGCTTGACAAAATAATCGTAATGTGTGTTTTGAAGACTAAGCATGGGAAACGGGGCACTGTAAGGAGTGGATTAATGAGAGGGGGCTGGCTTCACTGGTCACAGACATGTGGGAGAACGGGGCTTGTCTGGAGGGTGTGGCCGGGCGTGGGCTGCCGCCTGGGCGCACACTTGGGACCTGTGGGAGAGCGGAAACGTCCTCCGTGATGAAGCTGGCCCCGAGACCTGTAGAGTTGTGGAATCCAGACATAGTAAATGATGGTAGAACAGGCCAGCCTTTCGGAAAGGAAAGTAGGACTTGCTTCTTTGGCCAAATTAATTCAATATATTTCAACTATTTAAATTTTAAAAACCCGCTAAGTTACCTGAAAAAAGTTTCGGTGAGTGTTTCGTAACAGCTGCCTAGAGGTCTTTCTAAACACACAGAAACCACAAGGGTGAAACTTGACAGGGATAACGAAGGGCAAACATCGGCCGTGTGAGTGGCGGGGACCAGCCCCGCACCCCTTGGCTGCATATCATCCCTGGGCGCTGCAGTTTTCTCCAGCCTTTTAAACTAAAAAATATTATCTTTATCTTGTCTTTTTTTACTTCTGTTTATTGATAATTTCTGTTTTTTACTTGAATTGCATATTTTTATTTGTTCAATATTCTGTTGAGTTGCTGATTGTCTGACTGGTTTGTGAGAGTCCTTTGTATGTTAACTCTGTCACGTTTCGGGAAAGCATAGAAGTTGAAATCGTAGGACTCACAGAACACCTGTCAAGAATAAGGGACAGCAGACCCTGACAACCAGTAACGTGTCCCCATGTCTTGTGCTCGTAGCTCCGCCGCATGCAGGAGATGATCGCGAGGATGCAGGCGCAGATGCAGCTGCAGATGCAGGGCGGGGACGGCGACGGCGGGGTCCATGGGCACCACGTGTGAGGTGGTGAGGATGCCTGGATGACAGGCCTTTGTCACTCATGCTTGGCATTTTGAAGTCTGTCTCTGCATCCCTGGTCTTGAGGGAAAAGGGCTGTTCCTAAAAATGGAAGCGTCTCCACTCCTCCAGCCTAGTAAAAAGTCTTCCTGTTTTCTGAGCTGTAACTATGGTGGGCAGTAGAAGAAAAATTATGTTAAAGTAGCCCGTATTAGTTACATGAGTAGAAGTTTATTAAAGCTGAAAACATCTCTTCAGAGGGAATTTTAAATGTTATTAAATGGCTTGTGGAGACCAAAAGTAAAGCTGGCAAGAGAGGGGGTGGGTTATGCCAGGTAGGGCAGGGTTACCCCGATGGAGTTGCTGACCTCCCGCTCGTCACCACAGCTCTGCTCCATCCCCTGGTAATTGCAAGTCACGTAGTAAGTCCGGCCTTCCTGCTTGAAGGGAGTCTGCAGACACCAGGGACCCAGGACTAGGCAGAGCTTCCTTGTGTCCTCTGGACAGGTGGGCACTCAGCTGTTTAGGTGGCTGCTGTCATCACCTCCAAGAGGAAGGCAGGAGAGGTCAGTTCAGCCATAGGAAGCAGCAGTTACACGGGGCGGGGTGAGGGCAGACCGTTCCACGGCAGACAGACAACGGGCTGGACAGTTAGAGCTGGTGCGGGTCTGCGTAGAGGAGGACTCTCACTGCAAGTCAGGGATCTAGTCGTAGAGGCGCAAAAGTGTTGGTGAAAACAGGGAGGTGACGTGAGTGACCCAAGGCTTAGCTGACACATGGCAGGATTGATGAGATAGAGGGCAAGGAGTCCAGAGGCCTGGACACCTATCATAAGTTCTCCACGACAGAGGGACAGGTGATGAAGGGAGGACTTAGAGGAGCACACTGGCGCATTGGTCACCAAAACAGCCCCTGCCTTGCGTGGCTTGTTGGGAGAGGTTTTAGTAGTAAAATATACGCACAGAAAGGCACAGAGACACACGTCCAGTGTAAGCAGCTACTAGAAGGGACCATCCATGCAGCCCCAGCCTGCGTCAGAGTTGGCCGCTTTACTTTCGTCATCACGGAGACCTTGGGACAGTCCCAAGGGTGCGCGCCAAGTTCACACTTCACCAGTAAGGGCACTGATGCTGGGCCGGGGTATAAAACGATCTGCCTGTGGTCACATAGCTAGTGACTCCAGTGGCCGACGGCGAAAGCAGATTGGGAGCAGACGGGGGAAGCGGAAAGAAGCGGGGATGCAGGGGCGGGCTCCTCCAGGCTGGGTGGCCGATAGGCTCATAGGTGTCTCCCTTTTACTCTGACCTTGCTGCTGTTGCTTTTAAAGCTTTAATTATGAAAATTCGACTTTAGGTACAGAAAATCAATCAATATTTTTATACACTTCTCAGTTTTGCTGTACTTTCTGTTGCTCAGTGCCTTATAAAGGACGTTTGCCTTGGTTAACACTGCGGTCCTATGGCCAATTTGTGCTCTGTTACACAAAATATAATGCTGTTACTGATCAAAGCCTTTCAACATGTTGTGCTTTGTTTTTCCAGAAAACACTTTGCAAGATAAAACATTCCGGATGAGTAATACAGCTCTGTGTTTTCAAGAAATCGTTGGAGGGGTGCCGGACCACATGTTACAGTGCCTGTGGCCCAGGATTTTAATTTTTTTAAACTTTCGCCATATTCTTTTTGTATGAAGTACTTTAAACATTTGTATTCGTTACTAGAGTATACTTTATGTTTGTGAGTGAACTTTGCATTTTCATTTTCTTTCACCTTAACTAACCACTAATGTCGGGATCGATTCCCAGGGATCAGTGAGCATGTGTAGTTACTGTGATTTGGCTGGCCTAACCAATTAATCGTTGAGGAGCACTCGTATTTCTGAAACATTTAGATTTACCCAGAATGTTCCCGAGTGATAGAGACATGGATGTGGTGACAGACAAGGCACAAGGCTGCTTACTCACCAGGGCACGTGTGTCGTGCGGGGACTCCTCCCTACCTGCCTCTGTTTGGGTGCGACACCTGACACCTGACACGGGTTTTGCTGCTATAGTTCAGTACCATTAATTCACCTGCACACTTACTGTTTACCAAATGACACAATTATCTAATGAGATACACATTTATATTTACATGTCTTTCTTTTAAGAAACAGGTTTTTAGGGATAAACTTTGAGAAGTCTCTGGATTCTTATATTGGGTCATTTTTTAAACCACTAGGCAGGGAACTTGTCACAAGCCACTTTTTGTAGTGTTCAGCGTTACTGGTTATACTCTGCTACAAAAACAAAGCACCGTGGGCCCTAGTTTTCATCTTGCAACTAAGATTCTCACCAACGGTGAGAGTCAATAAGCTATTTTTACTCAACTAAATTAAAAAACAACTTTTTAAGAAAAATTAACAATTGATCTGTTCAGAAACTAACATTTTTATATTTTTATACTGCACTTTAATATATTCTGTAACTGAAGGTGTAGGAAATCTGCCTCAGTGGTAGAAATGAGGGTTCTCTGGTGAGTGGGTGCCTCTGAACCCAGACCTGTCACAGGCCCTAAAGCCTCAGCCCTGTGACTCCCAAAATGCCAACCAGGTTTCCCTGATTTGGCTTTGTTTAACTGTTTCTTTTTTGAATGGTTTTCTAAAAGGTGGCAAATAGCAGTGATCATTTTTTTTAATGTGCAGATTGTCTTGTTTATTTCAGCTACTGCCATTTCCTTCATTTATATGTAATACAGATTTCTCCATGTGTCATGGAAGAATGAAAGACATTTCAGATCTGGGCTGGTTGGCAGATGTCGCCAGTCCGAGCCACACCTGGTATTTTCTGTGTTCTGTGGCCTTGGCCTCCCCCCCGCCGCCCCCATCTCCCAAACCAGTCTCCCTGTCGTGATTGAGGGTGCTGATGCTCCCAGGCTTTTTCCCAGTGTTTCTGACGTTGGCAAATGGGTCCCCAGAAATTAACAGGTGAAAGGAGACCTGGAGGTGTTGGTTTATTTAATATTTTCATTTTGCTGTAACAGGAGGGATTGAGATGGAGAAAAGGCTCCATCTGAGGATAAAGAGGTTTTTCCGTTTGAGCCAAAAAATAAAATGAGGGTCAGAATACATTAATATGGTACAAACTATACTGTGTTCTTGCTGACTCGACCCTTCCCTATTGCATAATTGTGACTGGTCAGAAGCTTTAGGTTTAGGCACATTATGCAAAGTTTCCATAGAAAAGGTGTATGGCTCTAGAGTACCTCCATTCAAGACCAATTATTTGGGTTCTTTTGGTATTTATTAACTCTGCCAGTAAAAGCTGTTTAAAGGGAGGCAAGGGGACATTTGCAGGTGGTTGATGTAAGCCCGTGTGCATTTAAGTAAAATTACTACCCAGTGCTAACTGCCCGCCCCCATGATGGTTAGGGTTAAGCTGGGTGGGTTGTCCTACACCTCTGCACTCTTAAATCCCTTTTTGTTTTTTTTTTTTTTAGCCAAACCTAAATAAATACTTTTGCTAATAGATAGTTGCTCTTTAACTAAGAGGTCATCTTTATCTATAGAAATGTATTTTAAAAACTATTTTACACAGCAGTTTTGTATCCATTGAAACTAACCTTTTATCAATAAAGCACTATTGTTTAGACATTAACGGAGTAGTCCTCATTATTGGTTCTTTATGAGGGAAAAGTGTAAAGGTCCAAAGCCGCCTTCAAACATCTATATATAAAATCAAGTAGAATTATTTGCACCAATAGCACCAGCACCCAGCAACTTTGTATTGGCGATCCCAGCCCAAAGGAAAGAGCCATAAAAGACTAGAAAGGAATTATTTACAGATGATCTGATTACCTAAAGGGAAACTGATAAATATTAGCACCAGTAAGAGCTCAACGATGTCAACTCACGAGTTAGAGAATTTAGTGGGAAAAGAACGATCTCATTCACTGTGGCAACAACTACTAAATAAATACCTGGAAATACAATGAATGACTGAACTATAGGAAATAATTTTTCTAAATATTTCTAAGAAAAGAGGTAAGGAATGTCCCTGTACAATTTCTCAGACATTTTCAAAACCTAGAATGTAAAGACGATCCGCGTGGCTGAATGGCCCTCTCGCTGTCACCCAGGACCCTCTGGACCTTTCCATCCATGGTGTCAGCACTTCTGAGCCACCACCTCGACCCCTTGGTAGTGAAACTCCTACTGTCTCTAGTTCCTTCTGGTCCCCCTTGCCTTGCACACCCCTCCCTGCCTTGCTCCTTTCCTCCAATTGCCAGTGCACACCCGGCAGCCTCCTGGGGTCACCTGCCTCTCTAACCAGGCTTTCCCGTTCGCAGCCTCCACTGGCAGTGTGCAGCTGTTGGGGAGGGGGGTTCAGCTCGGGCTTTGTGCTACCCTAGGGGCAGCGAAGATAGTCTGTTGGGTTCTTCGTGACGATGGTGTCGTGGGGGGGTGGGGCGATAAGAGGAAAAGCTGGGAGGGAGTGGTGGAGGATTCGGGGGACAGGAGGAGGAAGAGGTCGCCCTAAAGGGCTGATACCCTGGAGGTGAGATCCCTGTGGAGCCTCGCACCCTGAGACCGACGTACTGGGATTGGCATTTACTCCCATCTGGCTTTTGGGAAACGAGGGGTCGCGCTTTGCTCAGGAGGGAGCACTGTAGGAGGGAGTCCCCTCGAGGACTAGCCCAGTGGGTCCTGAATTTATTCCAATAGTTTGGCGGGAACGGCCGCAGGTGCCAGAACCACACCCACCTCGGCAGGTACGTTGGGCGGGGGTCTTGGAGAAGGATGCGTAGTAGTTCACTGAACCCCTTGAAGGAGAAGGGGTGTGTGCTCCGGCGAGTCGGGCCTGGGAAACGGTGTCACGTTTCCATTCCCAGGTGGGGGGCGCGAAGCTAGAGAGGACTGCGAAGGCTGGAGGGCCGTGGGCCTCCCCAGAGCGACCAGTCTACGCCGCAGCATATCCTCGCTTGGCCCTCGGTACTCAGGATACGGACTCGGTAGCCCCAGGAATAGAGGTTAAGATGGAGGCTGGGCGAAGAGCGGAGAGGAGTGAACCGCGCCCCGCCCGACTCGCGTCTCCGAAGTTGAGGCCCCGCCCCCAAGCCGCGGCCCCGCCCAGGGCCGAAATCCCGACCCCGGAGTCGAAGCCCCGCCCACCGAGCCAAGGCACCGCCCAAGTCCGCGCCCCGCCAGGGCCAAATCCCACCCCCCCAAGCCAAAGCTCCGCCCAGGGCAGCGACTCGCCGGGGCCGAGTCTCCGCCGATTTGCATTCGACTCCGCGAGTGCCTCTCTCACCGCCCCCTCCCCGTTCATTCACCAATCAGAGCTCGGCGTCGCGCTTCCAGGCCAGCCCC